GGTGTATGTGGCTGGCGCCTTAGCCACTTGAGCCACAGGCACCGAGCCAACATTTCTAGGCACAAATGGTAGATTGTGAATAAAACAAAGACCCGGCCTTCTGGAGGGCTTAGTTTCCTGTGAGAAGGGGTTGGCAAATATATAATAAACATACTTAGCTTACATCTGGTGATAAGGGCAATAAAAAAGCAGACTAAGGGGGCTATAGTGGAGAAGGAATACTATATTTGATAGGCTGGTGAAGAACATGCCCTCATGAATAGATTAATATCCTTATCTCTAGAGTGGGCTCCTGAATGAAGTTTGACCTGATTTCCTCTGTCTTGTGGTGTCTGCCTTCTGCTCTTCTGCCATGGGATGACCCTTACAATAAGGTGACCAAACGTCCCACTTTTGGTGGGACGGTTCTGATTTTTAACAATTTGTCCCATGTCCCGCGACGTTTTAAAAAAGTCCCGATTTTTGGAAAGAATGCACAACAATCTAAGGAAGGGCCAGACAACAGGAAGGGAATATAGGGTTTTTGGCTGCTGAAAAGGTTAATGTAACTCCATTTGGGAATGGAAAGGCTAATGTAAACTCCCTCTCCCCTCCTGGGCAAGGAGTGGACCAGCACCCTACTCCTTTGAGCCACCCTATACATAATTTTTTTTAATGTATTATATTTGTAAATTGTACTTATGTTGAAAATTTTAAAAATATTACAATACTATTTTTGCGTTCTATGAAAATTTTTGTTGCTCCATATAGACCAAATTTTTAATCAAGAACACACCCCCTCCTCCGCCCCACCCCCAATCAATGGTGTCCCTCTTTACCTATGTTAAAATCTGGTCACCTTACCTTACAAGGTACCACACCATGCTCTTGGACTTCTCAGCCTCCTAAAGCATGAGCTAAATAAACTTGTTTATAAATTACCCAGACTATAGTATTCTGTTACAGGAACAGAAAAAGGACTAAGACACTTGGATTTTAACTGAAATGGGAAGCCACAGAAGGTGTTTTTGAGCAGAGATGTGATCAGAGTTTCATTTTTATTTATTTTTGAGACAGAGTCTCACTTTGTCCCCCTTGGTAGAGTGCCAAGGCAGTACATCTCACAGCAACCTCCAGTTCTTGGGCTTAGGTGATTCTCTTGCCTCAGCCTCTCCAGTAGTTGGGACTACAGGCGCCTGCCACAACAGCCAGCTATTTTTTGTTGCAGTTTGGCTGGGGCCAGGTTTGAACCCATCACCCTTGTGGGTGGCGCCCTACTCACTGAGCCACAGGCACTGCCCCCAGAATTTCATTTTAAAAGATCATTTTGACTGCACTGTGGAAATTTTGCCATTGGTATGCAAGAGTGGAATCATGAAAACCAGTTAGGAGACTACTGCAATAAATGGAGAGATGATAATATGTGATTCCAAATTGGGTGATTTCTGAATGTGCTTTGAAGATTAAAGGCGGAGGCTCAACGCCTGTGGCTCAAGTGGCTAAGGCGTCAGCCACATACACCTAAGGTGGCCCGTTCAAATCCAGCCCAGGGGCTCGGCGCC